TCATTAGTATATATCATAACAATAAAAGAATTGTATGGAATATGTTTGAAGTATTACAAAAGGCAGGTTGCTTTTTACTCTATGCATTTTTTGAGATTTTGAAGAAGAAATTTTATTCTTTGATGTAAAAAGGAACTGTTATGAGGGTCAGAAACTCTGCACCTGTGTATATATATATTTTTTAGCAATAAAGCAGCATGGGCTGAGAATGCACTGAAATTTCATTGTGTGTTATTTATTACTTAAAACGAGTAATTTTTCACATAATGCAGAAAATTATGGGAGAAGGAACCTTTCCATAGACCTGTGCTGAAGTAGGCTCCAGACATCAAAGAACAAATAGAGGACTAGGTTTGATACCAGTTTCGGGTGTATGTTATCCTGTGGAAGAAACAGCCATCTCAAAAAAAGGGGCATCCCATTTCAACTTACCTCATTTGGCTATATTATCTTTTGGACCAACCTTATGCAAGGTCTATAAATAAATATTTAGTTTCTGGTTTAAGTATTGTCATGACACAACTATTGTAAGGAGTCCTTCCCACCAGAAATATGATATAAAGCATTTAAGGTGATCCTATCTAATATGCAAATGTAGGTTGAGTTATCTAAAGAGGTTTTAACTTAGAAGATGCTTCTCTTGATTCAGCAGAAAGAAAAGACGTTTTTGTTTTTTGAGACACTCTCACTATGTCGCCCTAGGTAGAGTGCCCTGGTGTCACAGCTAACAGCAACCTCAAACTCTTGGGCTTAAGATTCTCTTCCCTCGACCTCCCAAGTAGCTGGGACTACAGGCGCCCACCACAATACTGGGCTATTTTTCTATTGCAGTTGTCATTATTGCTTAGCTGGCCCAGTCTATGTTCTAACCCACCAGCCTCAGATGTAGCCAACTCCATAACCACTGTGCTACAGGTGATGAGCCAAAAAGATGTTTTTCAAGTAGAAAAGTTAAGTGTTACAGAGCTGGGCACAGTGGCTCACACCTATAATCCCAGCACTCTGGGAGGCTGAAGTGGGTGTACTGCCTGAGCTCACAGGTTCGAGACCGACATGAGCCAGAGTGAAACCACGTCTCTAAAAATAGCCAGGTGTTGTGGCGGGCTCCTGTAGTCCCAACTACTTGGAGGCTGAGATAAGATCACTTGAACCCAAGAGTTTGAGGTTGGTATGAGCTGTGTGATGCCACGGCCCTTTACCAAAGGCAACAAAAGTGAGACTCAAAAAAAAAGAAAAGAAAAATGAAAAAGAAAGGTGTTAACAGACTTCCTTGGGACTGGGTATTATCAAATGGGGAGGAACAAAGAAGCTGTGTGGTTTTGGTCATGCGGTTACTAATGTTACTTCCTTTGATTTATGAAACTATTCATTTAACAAATATTAATATACTTTACACCTCAGGCAATGTGTTAGATGTTGGGGTTACAAAAATGGAGAAGCATTCTGATATTAATTAAGAAGCTCAAAAGTTTACAACTTCAATATGCAATATAATGTTCTTATAGCCACATGGAATTTTGAAATGCTTTTTCAACATGTGTAAAATTGCCTTTATGTCTATACCTGTGTATCCATACACATGAAGGTTAAGAGCTAGTACTGAGCACTTACTATGTGCTAATAAGCACGGTTCTAATGTATTCATTAACTCATTCTCAATATACCTGTTTGCTGTTTTTATACCTATTTTACACAGAAGGAAATAAAAATAGAGTTAATTGTTAAAGTTGATGGCTAATAAGTACCTAAGCAACAGTTTGAATCCAAAGTTACATTCCAGAACCTGCTCTCTTAACAGCATGACATACAGTGCTTCCCAAAAAATGGAAAGGGAAGAAATGTACTTTAACTCTTTATTATGTCACACCATCTATATGTGAATTTTTTCTAGAATAAGCATGTAATTTGAAAAGTAAAAGTCAATTTAAAGTCCGCCAGATGGATTTGATGTCAGGTTTAAGCATTTAATTTTCTAGTCTCTCTCTCTCTCTTT